GTGTGTGTGTGTGTGTGTGTGTGTGTGTGTGTGTGTGTGTGTGTGTGTGGGTGTGTGTGTGTGTCTGTGTGTGTACGTATAACGGAAATCTTCATAATAAATGATAGAGTCGGAAAGGCTGATAATGTGATCCGTTTTATTAGGATCAGTAGGTTATCCACGTACAATGTCTTAATCATTTCATGTGTTAAGCAATCAGGTTTAATTTCTTCCGTATTGTATCGGCGTGTGTTTGTAATGCTACTGTGTGCACAATCGTGACCAAAGCAAAACAATTCTAGAATGAGTTTGCTTAATTTATATGATAAAAATAGACTGCCATGTATGTGAATCTAGAGATTGTAAATACCTGTTAAGTAACGAGCTACTTAATACATTTAACGAGTTTATGAGTGGACTGAGACCTGTCGCTGGTGACAGTCTACACAACATCACGAAAGGCTCGGTGAGATGTAAATAAAGAAGGGTTCATTCTCGAATCGCACTAATAATATGTGGTCCTGTTGCAAAACCTAATTCTATTTCAATTTATATCTTTGTTTCTATTCATGTCGTTTATGTTTTAGAATTACGAAGAGCGTCCATCGTGGGGGAATCAGGCTGAGTTCTTTCTCACGTGTGTTGCTTATGCAATCGGATTAGGAAATGTTTGGCGCTTTCCTTACTTGGTATATAAAAACGGTGGAGGTGAGTATTTGCGTAAAGAGATATAGGAGATGGATCGCTGACTATAACGTCGATCATCGTTTATTATAGATCGTAGTTGTCCGCATCTCCCACGGGCAACCACATGCACGGCTAAATCACGTCCACTCACTTATACACCCTTCAGACCAACTATCGCCTCGTCACAGTGACAGGAGTGAATCTACGGTGACGGTAGTTTCAGTCTATTTACTTATAGTAGTTTCGCTCTAACTATATAGTATGTCCATAGCGAGTGAAATTAATCCACAATAAAGGCATTTACAATCATTCTATTCATTTATTGTCGATTTAAATTAGCTCTGGTACCAACAGCAAGTGGAGCGAATATACTAATAGCACTCGAAGCTTCGTTTGACGAAGTGCAAGTGTTTGTTACCGTGGGGTTTGCAAGACGGGCGGGGCTGTACCAGACAACATTACACTTGTATGTATGGAAAAACAAGAAAACATTATAAGTGCGTTTTGCTAGTGTTCATATTCCAATCAGTCTTAGATAGAAAATAAGTAAAAACATTAAACATAAGAAATACAAATAGGAGCTACTTACCACCTACTCTATTTACCACCTACCTTACAAATGAAATTACAGCAACACGCTTAGCTTGATTTCTGTCATAATCCTATAACACTTAAACTCATTGGTCATTGAACTATGATCTGAATATAATTATGACTACGGGAGTGCACTGCGTGCTAGTATATATACGCTAAAGAAATCTGACATTTAAAGCAGCGTGTGCAAAAACACATTTTTAATTCAGTTATTCCAATGTCATACGTCGTGATAAGTCTGCAAAACACAAGTAAAATAAACCTAACCTAAAAAACCTAAATTGTTAATTTAGCAATATTAGATAGACGACAAAGGTGGCGTGATATAAACATTTAAGTATATAATACGCTACAGCGATGAATCTATATATCCATGGATAAGAGTGTACGAAAATATGGTATGTGTTATGTATTAGTCATTATCTCCCACCTCAGTGTTTGATTTCATATCTCCCAGTGCTTCACTTTATATTTTAACAGTCATAATCATAAGTCATAAAGTATTTACAAAATCATAAGCGATTGATTAATATAATTATGGAATTAGTTAGTAATGAGCATGCTTGTTACAATGCTGAAAAGTGGTTTTGCGCAACTTATCAGATCGTGCGCTTTGAGTGGCGCCACCGTCGTTGTAATCAAACTGTAGTCGCTAGTTTTAAAACATTTTTTAATAATATTTTTAATGGTGATTGAACCATGAAACTTTTTATGTAGCCAAATTTTAACCTAAATTAACTGAAAATAACCCTAGAACCTAGAGTAAACGATCCCTTTAATCAACCCGACCGTAATTCTAGCTCTTCAAATAAATTCGAGGAAAACAGTATTAAACGTGCGAGATATAGCTGGTGATATAAAGGCGTGTAATCTATGTATCTATGATTTGACGGCCAATCCATCCCAGTGCAAGTAATATACCTGATCTGAGAATGCCCGACACATCCCGATACTAGACATGCGGCAACTTGACTACGCGGGTAGCTGCCAATACTGTGTACGCATTGCGTACAAAATACAAAACTCAAACACTGACTAAACTTTTCCGCAATGCAGTGAGTTCAATAATACCTAGCACCAAGATTTTCTACACATTATGCTGTATATTCTACGGCCACAAGCGTTTGTATATTATAGTTTATGGCCATGCTGATGTATACAAAAACAATGCCCCTTGCTGCGATATTGCACGCGTATCTATGCTCGCGGCTTAAACCCACAAACTTCTGCTTATTACAAAATATACAGATGATAAAAAATACGTTCAGCAAAACAATTCCTATGTTAACAATCCTTCTTGCTTACTACTTACTAGGCTTGGGCGTAGCTGCCAACTTCGTCAACTGGTCGGTGGGTCTCTACTACAACGTCATCGTCGCCTATTGCATTCATTACCTATTTGCTTCCATGAAGGCGGAGTTGCCATGGGCCAAATGTGGTAATGAATGGAATACGGGCAATTGCTCTGCGAACACTACTCAAACAAATGGTAGTGACATAGTGCTTACACCGGCGGAAGAATACTTTTAGTAAGTATGAATGATCAAAGCGTGTGTCGAAAAATCTATGTATGAGGAATATATTTCCAATCTTGTTTAATTGTTATGAGTGGGAATGTCATTAAATCGTGTTGTTATTGTAATATGTAATTAAGTCACTCTGTATACAATAAGTGTAGATCATCACTGTGTTACACAGTATAACAATATAAGACAAGACATTTATCAATTATATATTAAATTGAAGCTATTAAATTGATAAAATTCCGAAGGCTACACTGAAGAATATGCTAATAAAAAGCGTTTCATTTCGTGTTTACACTTTTGTAATAATAATCACTCAAAATATTTCCAGCATAATTTTATTATCTCAATAATCAAATTCCTCCCTGATACCAACGTATCCTTGTATATATCTCAAACGCAATATTTTTCTTTGTGAATCAAGTTCTAATTTTCACCAGATATATATTGCAGCGCTCTAACTGTTATGGTATCGTGTGTGAATTCGTGAAAAGCTGAAAACATCAAAACGTAATCTATTGTCTTACGAAACGTCTTATTACCCTGACATACCGTTCACTGTAAAAGCAAACCTTTCCACTATCAAGGCTTGAGAATGAATACAAGTTCATGTTTAATTACAAGCAATAGCGACACCAAAGACACGTATTGAAAGAGAGAGCTGATAACTCAGTGTCTATTTAAATTTTGAGCTATGAAACTTTCGTGATGATCGCGTCACACAAAGAATAAAAAAGCTAAATAGTAGATATGTCCCGGCGAAGAGTGCCATGTATTTCAAAATACATTGGCAATTTTTTTGAAAGATACTACTTGATTATTGTTTCATTTGTTTCCATAGCAATAAAGTTTTAAATATTTCAACTGGTATCGATGAACCTGGAGGGTTTCAAGTGGAATTGGTTGCAACGCTGGCGGCTGCATGGTTCATCGTATTTCTTGTTCTCATAAAAGGCGTTGGATCGCTAGGAAAGGTATTGACTATTTAATTTGATATAAATGGCTAGATCTGTAATTGAAGTTCCATTATAAATAATGGAAGAGAAGAAAATTTAGGTAAACTGAACGGATGCGCTGTAGTGAAGTTAGTTGGGTTTGCAATATATTGCGTACTTGCTTATATTTGTACCAGATGTGTACCGTGCAATTCGTGTTTCGTCGTTAAATTTGAGAGCGGTTCTTCTATAGAAGACTATTAGAATTATAGAGACTATTGTTATATTCGACTTTTATTTTCTAATTTTATATCTATCAATTATTGTTTTTGAGAGTCCGGGAAAAACTGCAGATAAACTGAGTATAATGTCATTTGTGTTTGCAACAGGTTGTGTACTTCGTAGCTATTTTCCCCTACGTCGTGTTGACCGCTCTTCTCATTAACGGTCTGCTGCTAGAAGGAGCCATTGATGGCATCATATATTACATCACTCCTGACTGGAATCAACTCCTTGACATAAAGGTATATATCACCATTTAAATGTGAAGTAAATCTGGTAATTTCTCACTAACCCAATCTTGCCTTCATATTATGGTAAGGCGAACACCTTGTATACGTTGTCCGTGCAAACTCACCACAGTTTAGTTCATCTATTTAACAGGTATGGAGAGATGCGGCTGTTCAAACATTTTATTCACTTAGTGCCTGTACCGGTGGCCTCATTGCCATGTCAAGCTACAGCGATTTTCATAATAATGTCAGAAGGTATGTAATCGGTAGAGCTAACGACGCTACTGGCCTAGAAATGATTGACAGCTTTCGAAACATGTCTACGCATGCGATTAAAAGCAAATTCATAACGGTTTTCTTTACTACGCGTTTTACAAATAAAATCGCGAATTCTTGCCAGATTACCATTGATATGACACCCATTTAACCATTAGAAATACACGCGTCCGCTAAAAATCCCACCACCATCTTTTTTTATGTCTATTTCCTCTCAATTCATGCAGGGACGCTATCGCCATTCCGTTAATAAGCTTGGCGACAAGTATCTACGCTGGTTTGGTGATATTCACAGTGCTAGGATTCATGGCTAACTTCAAAGGAGTTGATATATCAGAAGTTGCGGAGCAGGGTGCGTATTGTAGTCTATGTTACGCTGGAAAGAATCTCACACACTGTTATTCAGTCAGTGACTACATGGCTGCCGCATGTCCCACTCTGGTCATACACAAGCATCAGTAACATGCTTTACATAACAAAAACTCGTCACATGTTTTATATATTTCGTAGAAATTTGTTGTTTAAAATTATAATTGTTTGATAAATTAAAATAGAGAATCTCGGAAATCTTATTAAGCACGAGACATTACTAAGAATGATATTGCTTATTACAGGGCCAGGGCTGGTGTTTGTCGTATACCCAGAAGGAATTTCCAGAATGCCTCTCGCACCATTTTGGGCTATTATTTTTTTCTTCATGATGGTCACACTCGGATTTGGGACGCAGGTTATATTGATTGAAATACAAATTTCGACCCTTTCTGAATTCTTTTATTCTAGCATTTTTAATAATATATCAATATGAAACATCATGTCGTAATCATTGATAATACAAGAACAGTTACCAATGCAAATGTAAGACGACTAAAACGAATTTCGTTTTTGCAGTTTTCTATTATGGAGTCCGTTATGTCAGGAATATTTGACGTCTATCCAACGTTCTTCCGTGCTAGTACCTGGAGGATGATAGCATTTCGTGCTTTATTCTGTGGCGGAAGCTTCTTGATCGGATTAAGCATGGTGACTCGGGTAATTAACCATAATTAACATTATAATTATATTCTAGTAGGCTAGCACACTGTATATCGCATCAAGGTATATGTCTGAGTTTTAGTACTTTTGATCTCATATATTTAATGCGCAGTATGTATAGTAGCTGAGAATGTCTGAACAGGCAGTGATGGCCACCCTATACTGTATGCGGCCGTTTTGGGCGTTGTATGGGTATAGTAGCAGGTGCTGCGGTACCCCCACTGATCGACGTTACTTGTGAGTAGGCCTACATGTGCGATATACCGGCCGTAAGCAACCTTCGCAGCCACCCTGCCGTAGATGAAATTACGTAGAGTAGGCTGAATGATGGAAATTACCCGTCCAATCAATAATGTCGAACATCTTGAACATCAGCTGTCGGTTGCACTTCAACATCATGTTTGTATATCAGCATCGTTCTGCTTTATGACAAAAAATTTCTCAATCATATTTTATAGGGAGGCATGTATGTATTAAATGTCGTCGATGAAAGCATCGGAGGAATTGTCTTGATTATCCTTGGAATCGTGGAATTTTTGACTATACATTGGGTTTATGGTAAGTTGTTCATTATTTAACCAAATGTTTAACCTCTGTAAAATATATTGTGGGCGTTGATTATACTGATTAGTTAGAAAATAAACAAACTTTAAGGACATGTTTTCTCGACTTAAATTACTTAATAACTCGTGGTAAAGATATTTGACCTAAGAGTTTTTGAATCTGTATAAATTGAAAGAGATACATAAACATATGTATATATATATATATATAAATATATATATATATATATCGCTATAAAATAGAATGAACCTTGTCAGTCAGTGCATGCTTGATAGTACTTAATTTTATTATAACATGCCTAATTACATCGGAAGTTACAATAGAGAAGTAGAGGTCGTTCTGTAACAGCTTATGAGTTATTATTGATTTTTCAGGTACTGACAAATTGTGTGAAGATATTGCCCTAATGATAGGAAAAGAGCCCAGTTTATTTTGGAGAATTTGTTGGAAATACATTTCACCTCTCGTTCTAATTGTGAGTCACAAATACGTGGCATTACAAGTTACAAAAGAAGTTATATGCCGTTATTTAATTAGGAATTTATTTGATTTGCGATATAAAATCAATTTTTATATGAACCTTTGTATATAACTCATTAGCACACACCATACTATAAGATCGCGAGTCTTTGAATCGCTGCATGTATGTAGCAAATAATAATCCTGTAGGTTTAGCTACAGTATTTTGGTGCGTGTGTTAGTAAAATTGAAATGAAATCGTAGTAAACGTCACTTAATTCGTAATGTATAATCATGTTCCTAACATTAGCCGCATTTCTATTTTTTACAGTTTGTTTTAATAATGAGCATAGTGGAGTATGCTCCCATCACCTACACATTTCCCTATGCCGAAGATGGTGTGTACGAATATCCCAACTGGGCAATGGCAATCGAATGGAGCTTTGTTGCAATCCCATCAGCCGCTATTATAATAGGATTCTTTTACACCTTCTGCAAGTTGTCGGGATGGACGGTAAGTCTTGACTCGTCCGTCTAACGTACGATTGATCGTGAGATGTCTCTTTTACCGCTGATAGCCGTAGTAGACACACGGCCAGATAACCTTATTTTATAACGAGATTAAGGGTTTTCACGGCAAGCTTTCATCAGGACCCCTTTACTAGCCTTAGTAACATGTAACGAAGCAAGTTTTGTGGATTACGAAATATACTCCTATCCTGCATCTCCGGTCTCGTCTTTCTTTTTCGGTCTACAAGATTGGGCGTTTTTCTCGCAATCAGTCGATAATTCTGTAATACAGGTGCTATTCGTATGAATATTTTCAGGCGCTAAAAGAAGCCGCTCAACCAGCTTGGAACTGGGGACCAGCCGCCGATCAACGCAAACTGCACAGCGGTGACATCAGTAGACAGTTCTTCACAAGTAACTCCGAAATCAGCCTGTCAACAATCGACGCCGCGCTCAGTATGGATATGAACAATGGAATTATAAACAGCAGCTTCGATCCAACGTTAGATACCTTTATACCCTATTAATATCTCTTGAATATACATGGATTGAAGCGCGCCACGCGATCAACGTTAGTGGGTTTTAGTGACATTCAAACGGTTGATAGCAAACAGCAATAATTTGACTTCTAATAGCTCTTCGCAGAACGCAATGAGTTTGCAACTGTGTGCATCTACCCCATAGCAAGTATTATTACAAGATTTGGGTTTGGGAACTTTTTAAATGTCCTTTAAGTTTTTATTTTACAATATATTTATCTCAATAACACAAATAATAGCCCTATCCTTCTTAGAAATAAAATTTAACTGTGATTGAAGCAATGCCTATTGTCGGTGCGGATGAACTACTTGATGCACATTGCACGATCCCATAATCTTCGTGGCGTCACAGGATTTTATCACAGCAAAGCTGCTGATCATATCATAGTTGTATTGCCAGATTGTATAGAGCGCTGTTGTACCCAGAAGAGAGGGAAACGATTTAATTGTTTCTTCAGATTTGCAGAGAGATCTCGAGTGTAACTGGAAGTCATGTTAATACAGCTTGTCTACTAAAGTATAGAATAAGACACAAACAAGAACATCCCATTACCACTCAACATAACCTCCATTACATCTTTGTGTCACGTTACCGCTTAGTTAATTAACCCCACTTTCGAGTGACAGAAAAGCGGATTTTAAGTTGTTGTTTTCTGTTAGTCTAATATAAACCACATGTGGCCTTCAAATCGTGTAAAATAACCATACTTAAATTGGAAAACGGTTGATTATACGTTAGTCCGTTGTAAATCAAGAATAATAAATTAATATAGATTTAATAGTTTTAATTTGTATTGCTGTATTTAAACAATTGCAATTTGTAATTTAATTTATATTTTGTGTATTTTCAATATCATTAGGACAAGTGCCAGAGCGATAGCATTGCTAGGGCGATCGGGAGCCAATAGATTCCATGATAAAACTCCGCAGAGTCTAGCTCAAAATGAGCCGTACGATGTGCTTGTATATTTATATTCCATAGATTATCGTAGCTAGGTTGGCAATTATTACTCAGTGTGGGTATTTATACATGGTGGTATTTGCGAATAAGCCACGACGTGCTTGTAAGTATCACCTACGCCTCGAATAATGCCCACACAGGAAGAGATACGTGGATTGTCATCTCAAATAAGGATGACAACATACGTGTATTTGTGGGTGTGTGAATAATACCACCTGTATGTCTGCGTGTTAGGGTATACACACGTGCATGTGTGCACGTGTGTTTGTGCCTATGTATCGCAAGTATTCTCGCATGGCCTTTGCCGTGATATTACATATCAATTAACGAAATTATATATTTTGCGTGTAAAATAATGCACAACTATCAGAAAACAACATCACATTACCATCGAAAACATTAACTATTTATTGATATCGGCACATCCTACAAAAACAGTGTCGTAGCCGTGGGATCTGTTTAATTGAGTGATCTATGTGTATATATTTTAAATATTTCAGTTGTTGGAAAAGAAACTGAGCTGCAATTATTGTATGTACAAGTACACATTTAGAATAATTAAAATAAAGCATTTTATAGATCGAAGCATTGAAACTACGTTTTTGCAGGTTATAATATACAATAGAGTAACGATGGCCAAGATCAATCTGTTTGCGGGTACAATACGTGTCGCCCTTATTATTTTCGCAAGTAAAAAGTCGTTACATCAAATTATCAAAGCAAATTAATATTAACTATCAACTCTCTACGTTAAATGGTGTCAAAGAATCATTTTCGGCATATGTTGAGAATTCTTGCGAATCCAAACCCTAGCATGGAAAATAAAACTGACATTGTCAGCGTAACGTAGCACACATGCCAAGCATCTGTGGATTATAACCAATATTTCGTAACAATTGGTAATAGCGCATTCATAGATACTCATACTCGCTAGTAGTTCTATCTTCTATTGAGTGGTTTGATGTGAGAATTCTCATAACAACGCGTCATCCTAATCCAAGTATCTGATAAACCGACTATTAGTTGATTAAAATTATACATGGTAGTTGGTACTGATGTACTGCGATTACCAGAGTCAATGCAGTGTAAACGCTTTATTAATCCTAACGTATTTTAAATGTCATTCATGCGTTCTTCACGTTGGCTCGAGTCGCGAGTTATGCCCTTTATCCCATACTTCCCATATCTGTGTCGACATTCTATTGTGACTACTATTTACTACTATCAGAATTAGCACATTTTCAACTTGTATTGAATGTTTTGTTACAATATCTTACTCTAGTAATCTAGCGTTTTCTGTCATCTGCCAGAGTTTATTTCTTAAGCATGGATGGAAAATATCAATTATAGTCGCTTACCTGTCGCTTTGATAAAGGTGAAGGTTGATTAAGAATTTTGCATCGATTTTTACCACTAGTACTAGTGAGGTATAAGAATTTCCAGCTACAAATACATAAATACACACAGATTAGGGTTACATTTTATTCAATACATACGTGCATTTACTGTCCTAGTTTACTCTGTTGTTGGGCTAAATTATGCATTGATTTATTTACATTGCTATGTAACAGGAATTATTATAACAATATAATTAATTAAATGTGAGAAACGTAATTTGTTTACATTATCGCGTAATAATCGTTACTAGCTCTTGTCAACCTGCTGCGCGACAGCACGCGACATTAACTCGTTCTTACCACGGCCGTAGGAAGGACGCAAGACCAGTCTTTCTTAAAGAAATTCACTGCATGTGACTACGCATACAATCTCATAAGATATGCGCAACAAACTACATACATTGGGTCGTGAATGCGCGGTATTATGCACCATATCATATTAAACGCTCTGACGGCCATGCAGCTCTGACGTTTCGAATAACTAACAACTCGACAAAAAGGTGAGCAGTCTCAGTTCAATACCTAGTTTATCCTTTCTCTAGAGAGAACCCATGTGCTTAGTCGATATTAATAGCAAACACCTTGAGAAAGAATCTTGTATATTTTTTAAGTCTCTATCTGTACATTTTCGAAAATAAGTCCAAGTGTTTCAAACTAGGCAGCTGGTGTCACTCTGCATGGCGGTCTTAGTTATTGTTCGTTCGCGATAAATTATCGCTGTGGAAAATGATTCGAATTCTATTGAAATATTATCATCTCTAACTATATAGACGCGTATCTGTCTGGGTGTGCACGTGTGTCCAACCACATGTGTCATTTAGCGCTCGTGCACGTGTGTTTAAACACGTGTATTATTATGCATGTGGGCATGTGTGTGTGTGCATAGTTACGTGTGTCATCACGCACCACGTGTGTGCACGTGTGCGCGCACGCGTATACGCACCGGCGTATTTCTCCAATAAAAAGCATTCGATGTATTACCACGGCGACGAAATGAAACACAAAATAACCCAATGAAATGATTTATTGTGGCGAGTTTTTATTAACTACAGAAGTCTACATCTTATCGCACACGCGAAGTGTGTTAACGCCGTGATAAATAAATAAATAGACAAATAAATAAATAAATAAATAGAATATGGTATAAGAATAAGATAAAATAGAATAAGATAAATAATATAGAATGGGTAGAATTACCTGAGTAAAGATAGGCGTATGTGTAATTAGAAGTGTAACTGTGCTGAAGATTTACGTATTTGAATTATTTTAAGGTATGTAGCAACGGTCGTGTGCACTTTGCTGTAATGACCCTGTGTGTCAGCATTTCAGGTTAAAGTTATCGTGTTTGAGGGGTGGTTGTAGTGCACTTGTACCACTATGCACGCATCACACCATCGTTACAAAAAATGTTGTTCTTCTTGTGATTAAAACATAAACGCATTGCAATTAATGATAATGATGATAT